ACAGTCACATCTCTTTGAAACACTGGTTCCCGTACGATCGCCGAAGTTAAGCAACGTCGGGACTGGTCAGTACCTAGATGGGTGACCGCTTGGGAATACCAGGTGCTGTAAGCGTGGATATGCGGTTGGTGTAATTGTTAAGTTCCAATTCCATTCGGCTTCGTTTTATTCACTTACGCACAAATAACCTTTGGAAAAGTATGAATTCACCTCTTCTCCTCCCTATCTATGGATTAATTAGTAAGACTTGTATCACTAAAACATTATTAATTCAAAAAAAAAAAAAATTCTTACAATCTAAAAATATTTTGTGGCTTTAAATAACCTGCAAAGGATTTGCTAAGTCATAGAAAATTAATCCATCAAAAAAAAAAAAAAAAGCAAAATTGTGCCGGTCTGTATTCGAACTCGGGTCGCTAGTTTTAAATACTTAATCTACTTGAAATTGCGTTTTTGCGTCAATTCCCAAGACCGAAAAATGGTGAGGGTGAAAGCGTTGTCTGTTTCTACATAAGCCCGTCCACCCAACGTTATAGAAACCAATCAGGTCGGCCGCCACTTTTTTTTTTCTTTGTGTTTGGCAATCAACGAAACATAAAGAATTCCAAGCTCAGAAATTGAAGACAACAACCAAATCCAAAAACTGTTTTTTCCCCCCGAGTAACATCGTAAGCCGTTTGATTTTTTTTTTTTTTTTTTTGAATTTTATAAATTGGTTGCTAATGAAAACGTTTTATAGGAACTTATCGCGTGAGATATATATATATATATATATATATAGCTTTGGGTTATAATCCTGAAAGATCAAAATTCCGAAAAATAATTTTTGGAGAAATTGCGAAAAAAAAAAATTTTGGTAATACCTTTATTTCTAAACATTTACAAAATAGCGTTTATACATTTGAAACATTCAAAATTCATTTATATATATATATATATATATATATATATATATACCAGAATATAGCATAGGCGATGAGAAAATTTAGTAGCCAATGTTCATTTTCTTCCATATTTAAATATACAAATAATGTCTTAAAAATAAGTGATTATTTAAGACTTTTATTTTTCTATCTTCAAATTTCATGGCGCTTTTTCCGTATTAAAATTTACAGGCGCGAACCCTCCTCTACGATTTTTATTTATTCAAAAAGTGAAGTATATATATATATATATATATATATATAAGGTCGAAACACTGCTATAGTGAATAGTTAAAACTAGCAATTTGAACAATTAAGTTACGGGACCTAGTTGCCAATATTGTGATTCGCTTATATTTAAGTCGAGGCACCAACGAGTACAGATCTTTAGAACAATTACCGTGAAAATCTTTATAGAAAAGACAGAAGGAAAGCAACTGAAAAGATGTCGTCACCGATAACATTGCGGTTTTTTGTTTGTTTTTTCGTCTCGAATTGTGATATCGTTCGAAACATCTTAACTCAAAAAAAAATAAAAAAAATAAAATAATAGTCTAAGTTAATAGGAACGGGCATATTAAAACGTTACTTGCGAGACATTTGAATTTCTTGAATTTTTTATTTTATTTTATTTAAATCAATTCAATTACGATTATGGCCGATAAGTTTTGTGGTCAAATTTAATAACTTCAAATCCGTCTCTGGATTGGAAATAAAGCCAGAAATATTCCAGTTGAGTAACTTCTGAAATCACAAAAAAAAAAACGGAAAAATATGCGAATTTTATTTTTATAAAATCTCGCCATTGCCGACATTTTTATCTTACCATCTTCCCAAAATGGAACATCCCAAATCATAATCATGACTTATTTAAGCTCCAACATCTAATAAAACTCTACGGTCAGGTGGCTTTTTTTTATTCCCTTAAATGTACTTTTTCTTTCTACAGAGCGATTAGGGTTTATTGCGATCGTTTGAATTCGCCTTTAATTCTCGTCTCAGTTGATTAATTTTTCCTCAAAGACCTGTTCTGTTAATCTTGCTACAATCCAAACAGTTGGGCTAACGACTGGATGTTCAGTGTTTCATGTTAGATTTAAATATGTCTTTGTGTCGTGTCCTCTCCAGGATGCAGGCAATCATGGCTCTCCCCAACTTCCTGTCTCTTTTTAGCTCTTAATAAATCTTGTCTTCCTGCTTACCTCTCCTAGATCCTCTGACGCTGTCCATTTACTCAAGCTCACTAAGTATGTCATGCGTTGGTTTCCTTTGTCCCTCTTGCCTTCAATCTGTCCTGTGAGTATCAGATTTTCAAAGCCCTCTTTCCTCATTATGTGTTCTAGAATTTCAACTGTCTTTTTCTGACGTTAAGTATAAATTGATTCCATTTTTTTTTCTAAAATCTCGTCGTTGCTTACATGTTCAGTCCATATTACCCTCAGCATCCTTCTGTAGAACCACATTTCTGTTTTCATGTGTTTTTCATATTTGAGGAGATTGTGCAGCATTCGCTGCCGTACAGAAGGACAGGTATCACGTAAGTTTTTTTTTTTTTTTTTTTTTTTGGTTCTCTGCTTAACTTTTGGATTGCATCTTGGCTATCCCAATACGCCTTTGAATTAAATCGTGTAGCCCTTCCCTAACGGATTAGGTTAAGACACCTATATACTCCCCATAACCGGTTAGAGGATGCAAATTAGGAAAAAGGCTTTTTCTGTTAAATTTTCCTGTGTGTGTAATGTATATATATATATATATATATATATATATATATATATATATATATATATATATATATATATATATATAAATCATGACCATGAAAATTACCACAGAGCGAAATCGTCCCATTCTGCTGACTGAAGTAAAACAATTTTAAAGTGAGGTTCACCCTGTACAAGGTCCGGGAGCCACTCAAAGTAGAGGGTTACAGATTAAGAGGTTCAGTTTATGTGGATAAGGTAACTGTTAACCCTAGACTTGACTAGGTTAAGATTGTAGTAATCGGGGTTGGGGACTTGCTCTTTTTGGAGTCTGTTCCACAGAGTAGCGGACCAGTGATTGATTAGCTAGATTAAGCGAGGGTACAAACTCGCCTTCTTCTTCTTCTTCTTTTTTTTTTTTTTAACAACTAGTGTCAGACTCCCTATATTCCGGATATTCCATATCAGAACTCTAGATTGAGGACAAATGAGAGTATGCTGAATAAATCGGTGTTTATATCCTAACTCTGGTTCAATCGCTGGCTCTTGTCCCGTGTTAAGAACTGGCAGTTACGAGTCTAGTTTTCACTTACGAAAAAAAAAAAACGCCATTGATAGTACCTCTAATTATATAGAGGTTGTCTATCGATTATCTGTACAGTTTATTGTATCCCTTGGTTACATTGACTTCTGTTTTCTGTTCGTGAGTTTCTCAAACTTTACCAAAACGGTAAATTAATCGTTCCAGTTTCTAGGTCACCGGATGTAACCTCCTCTAGACTTATGGGGGTGGCTACATTGAAGAGTCTATCCTGCAAAAGTTCAATGATCAAAAAAGAATACATCAAGTCATATTCACCATTTAAGGAGGAGATGCCCGAATGCACATACTGTAATTCCCCACGTATAATACACTCTCATCCATAATACGCGCCCTTAAAATTGTGGGGAAAATGCTTCTACTCATGCATAATACGCTACCCATGGTTGGTAATCAAACCCTATAAATTGTACCTTTCCGATTTCATTACGGACAGCGTTTCGTACTTTTATTTAAAAAAATGGTTTTAAACATAGAATAATATTATTCTAATTTAGTTTTATGATAATTCTTTTATTTTTTGACAATTTTTTAATTTTTTTTTTTTGTAGCTGTGCATAATACGCGCCTCTGATTTATTTTTTTTGGAAAAAATGCGTATTATACATGGGAATTACGGTAGTTAGAAATTGAGTATCGTACACTAACGGGACGCAAGGCAAGGGGGAAAAATGCACATAATCTACCTAATGATAGCAGAACAAGGTTTAGGAGACCTTGCAAAAAAAAAAAAAAAAAAATACAATTTACCAAGAGCTAAAAAAGACAGGATATTTTGGAGAGCTACGATGCCAATGTCCCGAAGGGGCATGGAACATGGCAGAATGAAGCCGATGTGGAAGTGTTCTTACATTGTTTCCGGACTGCTGCCTTCATTGCCATATACGCTCCAGACTTCTTCAGGTGACTAATTTCGAACTGAACCGTTTATTTCGTCCACCGGAGTAGATTCTCTAGTTTCACGTGCCATTCCTCTTCCGGTTCACCTGAAGAAGGCCGGCGCGCACTACGGCCGAAACGTCGTGAATATGGCAGTAAAAGATTTCACATAAAAAAAAAATGCTAGGCTTGTCGATGTTATATACTCGCTAATAAAGTGTATGTATATATATATAGGCCACAATCCTTCATTTTTATTTAAATTTTTCTTGTGTTCGAACAAGTTTTCTTTTTTGAACAGTGTGTAGAAACTGTCCAAATGATCTATAATTCCGAACGCTTTCGACTATACTTTTTGCCATTATCAAGGATGATTTTATTTTTCAATTTAATTGGGTGTGTGCATTGTGTATGTTTTTAGTATTATAGAGATTTTTATTTCCGAACACAGTTAGCACATTGTGGCCGTGTTTGTAGTTGTCCAAAAAAGAAAAAACTTGTTCGAACACAGGAAAAAAATTAAATAAAAAGCTTAATCATAGTATCTTGTCTGGCGTTTTAATAAAATATAATCTCTTATGGGTTAAAAGTAAAATAGTATTGATTGATGAGTTGGGAGCGTTTCGATTTTTTTTTTTTTTTTCTATTAGTAGGGAGTGGACTTTTATTTTTCTGTTTTTAAAACATTTAAGCCTTTATGGAACGTTGTATAAAAGGTATCTAACATCTCTAACTAGCCATCCATTTCTGAGATGTCTTAGTTTTTGTTTTTATTTTTTTTTTCAACCAGGTTACCTGAAGTTTTAATTTGCGATGGGTTGACTTTTTTATTTTTTTATTTTATTATTTATTTATTTTGCTCCAAGTGTTCCTCATTTACAAATGATTCAAGCGACCTGGTCGAAAAATCTAAGGGAATGTATATGACGATTTTTTTTATCCCTCCCCCTTCTTTAAAACTGGCTATCAGTCAGCCATGCAAAAGGAAATGTTCTCGTTTATGTAAAGCAGATTTTTTTACTAATCTTAATATTGGCTGGAAGAAGGAGAGAAGTGGAAAAGTGTTTTTTTTTTTTTTTTTATAAAAAACAAAATCAAATGTTGAAGTGTCTATACCCACTATCATGTTTTTTCTTAAACTTTTTTGTGGGCTTTTTAAAACTGTCTGTCTGTTAAGAATTCTTTCGAACATGTTTTGTTGAATAATCTCTACAAATTCTGTCTATCCAACTTTTTTTTTTAACTTATTTCCGAATTAGTTCTACATAATCCGTAAATCTACCAAAGTGAATTTCTCTTGTTAAAGAGTACAATCGCATGTTAAACTTTTATATATAATTTTATATTATATATTTATTTATCGAATTATTCATTCATTCTCCAATTATATAATGACGTGTGAAAAGGCGGTATTGTGGTGCATGGAGAATTGAATGATGACTGAAAAGTTTTTATGGTGCTTATGCAAATTGTAACTAATGAATGGGTCGTGAATCTTATTAGCTAGGTATAAGATAGTGACGACCAGAGTAATGATTGCAGACACGGAAAAGAAATGACAAAACCTCCTACAGAAGGTAGCGAAGGAGAGCGAGAAGAAAGGACTAAGCATAAACTACAAGACAGAATTCATGGTCATCAGTAAAAGGGTGAGTCCAAAATGCGATTTGCACGTCGGGAACACAAGAATCAAGCAGGTACGAAAGTTTAAATATCTGGGAAGTGTTTTGACGGAGGACGTTAAGTGCGACGCTGAGATCCGAAGACGTATTGGGATGGCGATGGACGCATTTCAAAAGCTAGGCAGAGTAATACTAGACAGGAGGATTTCTTTGGTGACAAAAAAAGAGTACTGAGTTGCTATGTGAAATCTGTTCTCCTTTACGGCAGCAAATATTGGACGGTCTCCTCCAAGATGAGACTCGAGGCGACGGAGATGTTTCTACAGAAGGATGCTGAGAATATCATGGGCCGAGTGTGTGAGCAACGATGAGGTCTTGGAGAGGATGCAAACAAGGAGGAGGCTTATACTTATCAGGAAGAGGCAGCTGAAATTTCTGGGACACGTAATAAGGAGGTCCTGGAGAATCTGATACTCACAGGTCGAACAGAGGGGAAAGAGAGACAAGGGAAAGCAATGTATAAGATACCTGGTGGGCTTAAGTGGATGACAGAACGTGATCTGGGCGAGGTGGCAGAGGGGCGAAACTTATTGAGTTACAAGGGGTAGCGGGAAGTGTATAGCCATGATCACCTACGTCCTGAAAGGACACGGCATATAAAAAGAAAAAGAAGCCACGATTGTATTTTCAAGCAATAAATCTCGAGTACTTTCGAATGTTGCCACATCCGTTTTCAAGGATCGTCTTTTGTATCTGTCTGTAACTGCTTCCGGTTAATTCCGGTGTCTTCCCATTGTAAATTCTAGGTGTCTTCCCTCAAACTGGAACCAATATACTTTCAAGATGGATTCTCCTCATCTTGAATTTCTCCGGGGAGGAATTCTTAACTTCATTGGACTCAAACTTCTCCTCCCCTCTTCATTCTCCTCCTTCTTCATTCTCTTCAATCTCCTAGAACAAATTCTCCTTCATAAAAAGGAAGGATTCTCTTCATTCCTCTTCATTCTCCTCCTCTTCATTCTCTTCATTCTCTTCATTCTCTTCATTCTCTTCATTCTCTTCATTCTCTTCATTCTCCTCCTCTTTCTTCTTCTATGGAGAATGAACGTGATTAAAAGTCAGCTGCTCCCCTTGCACTAAAACGGATTGCTTTAACGATCTCTGAACATATCGACATTAATTTTTTTTTTTTTTTAATAAAAAGCATGCCAAAATAACCCATAAACTAATGAATGACAATATCTAAACGGAATAAACTTGAAAACTGAGACAGTATTTCACGGGAAGTAAATAATCTGAATAACCTTTTTATAACCGAATGAAAGTAGTTTTTAAGGATTAAAACCTTAATTAGTGAATAGTTTTCTTCAAATAACGTCTTTGAAAAGACATTAAAGTTTTGTTTTTAATTACTTTTAAGTAAATCGTACAGAAATTTATTTTTTTAATAAAGTAAACTGATCTATAAGAATTACGATTTATCTTATTAAAAATAATTAAAAACAATTGTTTTATTGAATTATTTTTTTATGCCAATTTACTTTATTAAAAATCAAATTTATTTACGATTTACTTTATCAAAAATAATTTAAAGCAGAAAACTGGTTCATATTTTCTATGCCTTTTCAAATGACTTATTAAAAAATATTCACTAATTAAGGTTTTAATCCTTAAAAAATTACTTCTATTCGGTTATAAAATAAGGATATATATATATATATATATATATATAGTTTTTCTGGTGTGGAGTTTTCTCAGTCCTGACTTGTACAAGTGTTGAGTTGTCCTGCACCACGCCGGAAAGGCTACCGTTTGCACATAATGGATTTTTTATCTTTGATTTATTACTTTTATTTAAGACATTTTTAGGTGGCAATATCAACTCTAACATAGCTTGACAAAAGGCTATAAGCTGCTTACAGTATCTGGTGATCCTAAGTGGTTACACATTTAAATATTAATCAGGATTGATATTGCTTAACTTTATCAAAAATAATTAAAAACAAAAAATCTGCTCCATTTTGTTTTGTATTTTTCGATTTACTTTATTAAAAAAATAATTGAAAACAATTGTTTTTTTTTTTTTATTGAATTTATTTTTTATGTCAATTTGCTTTATTAAAAAAATTTCTTTACAATTTACTTTATTGAAATAATTAAAAACAAAAAAACTGGTTCATAGTTTTACATACTTTTTCAAATGCCTTATTCGAAGAAAAATATTCACCAATTAAGGGTTTTTTTCCCGACCTCCCTACGAGGCAGTATGTGGCAGAAGACCGAATTACCGAAGTTTGTGGGGGCGATCCAAACCCGTAGGCTCGGGCAAAAAATTTCCCGTAGATCCCGCACACACAGGGTCGGGTTTGTCAACCTCCCAAGACCTGACTCTGCCCGTCAGGCAAGCAACAATGCGATAACAACGCAGTTTATCAAAATTGCTTAATAGTAAAATTAATTTGCAACATTGGTCAGTCCCGAGAATCTAGGGCGCTAATTATGGATGGATATATATATATATATAATATATATATATATATATATATATGGCTGGATGTATATTTATGTATACAATTATCTAAAGTTCACGACTAAAATATAAAAATAGATCGAACATAATATAGAGAAAATGTCGAATTAAGGACAACACGAACGGCTAGGCAGGCTGTTTTCCTCTTCTCTCTCTCTCTCTTCTACTCGCTTTTCCTTTTTTTTTTCTTTTCCTCTTTTCTTTCTTTCCTGTATTGGCAATATTATTGAACATGACTTGGCATCCCGTCTTCAGTCACTTTCTCATTGGCATAAAGTTCTTTCGTGATGACTGCTCGAATGACGTCTTCGCTATGGTATCTAGACTTTCTGAATTAAATTGCGGTTCTAGATAGGGGGGGGCTAGGTCTCGTTATTTTACAGATGAACTGGTTAGATGTACGTGGAACCGGAAACAGTAACAGTTTCTTGCTTGTGGAACGCTCTTCCGGCCCCATGCTTAAAACTGCATTGTCAATCGTTATCTACTGTCTCCCTGATCGCTATTCTATTGTTCTCACTCCTTCCCCTTCGGTTTTAGTGGCCTTACTGTGAGAATGTGGCTGAATTTGATTATATATATAATATATATATATATATATAATTGGTGATATCCCCCTGAAGAGTGGATGGACGGGTCCGTCTCCGGGATTCTGAAAGTAACATCAATCAGCTAAGTGACACTTTTCCTCTTATATATATATATATATATATATATATATATAATATGCCGTCTTTGTGTCCGTTTTTATTTTTATCTGATTTCGGCAACACATTCGTTCAATGCACATACAGTTGTATACTATCATGCTCAGGGATGGCAGCAATTTTTTTTTTTTTTTTTTTTTTTTTACTGTACGTTTTGTGTGTTTTATTTTATTTACCTGTAGTCTGTAACTACAAAATCTCTTTACTAACAAAAGTTACCTTTTTTTTTCTTTATTCTACATACCAGCTTTTTCTTTTGTATTTTTGATGAAGACGATGCGTCGCCTCCCGACAATAAACCCACAACAGCAACCTCCGGGTCGGCTTCCCCAAATTCTCACTAACTCCGGACCGATTTGCAAAACTGCATTTGGCGGTAGTGCGTGCAGCAACGTAACTTACGACCAGCCTTATTTTCCCGCTATACCCTCTAAACCTGTCTCGACTTCGATCAGCAACATGTTTGGCAATCAGTCACCTCCAGTTGTCGGCCCTTATCGCTCGGCAATAAACCAACTCCGAGCTCAGCAGCAATGCGCCTTTGTTGCGTCCCTGATAAGCAAGAGTTCCAATGCCCGAGAGCAGCTGCTGAAGCAACAGTTGATGAAAGCGGTCATGAAGCACCAGTCGGACCTTGGCTACCTCGACTTCTTGCGTAAATACGCCGAAGATGCTACCACCACCAGCAATATCCAGCAAGAATTTGATTACCTGGACTATATTCGAAGAGACGCCGCCGAAGATTTCAGTCGAAATGGCGTCGAAGTTGCCAACTTTGAAGACTTTTGTATAGCTGACAACAGACGAAGTCTCTGCACTGCTCAAGTTGGAGACAACGATAACAGCCTAATAATAGCGACAACTACGAAAGATATGTACACTAAAGGACGGGAGTTTACTCTAAAGCACGTCGACGACAGTGCGATCATCAGCTATGGCGACTTCACCACGACGTCTATGAGCAATCATGAACCCCAAGAGTCTAACTTCGAAACTTACAGCACTTCCCCGAAAGCATCAGACAAGGAATACTCGGCGGTCACCGCTGCTTCTCAAGTTAACGGCGTTTCGAGGAATCGCCGTAATATCTTCAGAAATTCTCGTTCTCACCGCCGTCACCGCTCGAGTTCCCTGAAGCGCCAGGAGAGTAGCGAACGGCCACGCTCGAGACTCTGCAAAAACGTCCTCCCAGTTGCTTCTGATGTTGGTAGCAGAAGGCCGAAGCGCTCCAAGCCTTATGATGGTGCTCCTCAGCGAGCGGATCGACTTGCAGGAGCAAATAATCGCCATGAAAAGTAAGAACCTCGTGTCGCTACGTGAATCTGAATCCTTCTACCCCCCACTCGCCCCCAAACGACTTTTGAAAAGTTCGTGGGGTCAACAATGAGATGATCTCTCATCCCTATAAGGTAAGAAAGTTTAAGTTATTTGACGTCGGATTCATTTTTTTTTTTTGTTCTTGACATTGATAGAAAATATTCCTCTTTTATTAACGGTATTAATTTCTAAAGTCGACTGGCTGTTTCAAATGTAATCATCGCGCAGATTATCTTCAAATTTGTGTTTCCATCCTCTAGTGATTAGACCATTCACTTACTGACTGGTTTAAATCTCACCAAGGTATATCCGTCAGGAAGTTTTGTGCTGTTGGTTATATGTGTGTTATATATATATATATATATATATATATATATATATATATAGAGAGAGAGAGATAGACCTAAGGATGTGATCCCAGTACGTGGCACCGTGTGTGAAAACATGCCACGGTTAGACCCAAGCTTTGCTTGTGCAAAATCTTGTAGACAGAACGACATGGGGGGGGGACCTAACTAGCACGAAGTAACAAGCCGCCGTGACCGAGGCCCTGAGCGTTCATGCCTTGTTGATAATGCCGGATTATACGCTGTCTCCGAGAAACTAATTAAGACCCGCTCAGTATAGGTGCAGTATAATAAACCACTGTTTTAGCTCGAAGAAAAAACTGAATTCGAACCCAATGTATATTTGGCATACTGTGCACTTTCTTTTTCTCAATTCTTCCGAAAAGGGTAGCTGCTTCTCTATAAACCTTCCCTACTACAATCAAGTCATCTGTGCAGGTAGTTTAGTTTAGCTCTTCAATAAACTGCACTTCGCTATCGTCAGGTGGTTAACTCAGTTTCCAAATAGAATCTAAGAAAATCTGTATTCCTCATCACAAATTCAGATAAGGTTTGTGTGTGTTTTTTTGTTTGTTTTTTTTTCATTCACAGAAAAATTTTAAAGTTTAATGTTAATTAAAATGAAGTTGAACATGAAGCTTCAATATGGCAGTAAAATGATGAGCAGTCTCCTCAAAGATTAAGACCTGAAGCAACAGAAATGTGGTTCTACAGAAGGATGATGAGGATACAATGGATTGAGCATGTGGGCAACGACGAAGCTTTATAAAAAATGGAAACAAAGGAAACTTATGCTTAACATCAAGAAGAAACAATTGAAATTTCTAGGGCCCATAATGAAAAAGGAGGGCTTCACAGGACATATTGAAGGCAAGAGGAACAGAGGAAAAGAACACATAACCTACTTGTTGAATAAATGAATGACGGAACAGGGTTTAGGAGAGATAACAAAAAGTTTATTAAGAGCTACAAAGAACAGGAAAATGTGGAGAGCTATGATCGTCGACGTTCTGAGGCGACACTGCATATAAAGAAAAATGTATGTTGTTGCGGGGAGGGGGCATTTTGTCAAAACATTCCGTCTCTAACAATGTAGAGATTTTCCAAGCGTAGCTTAGATGTGGCACAAAGCCGAAAGTATGGGGCCTTTAGTGAAGATCGAACTCACTTTTCAGTTGTAACTGATCTAGCAAGACAAGTTTGCTAACCATTACACCACGCCTAGGTGCCCCCATCTCTAACAATGTACCTGCCTCGGTGCTTGATCGAATGTTATAGTGACCACTTCAGATCAAGATTCAATTCACTTTGTGGCGGACTTAGCCACATTTAATTTAACTTAGATTAGGAAACTAAACTGAGGTGAAGAAAGAAAAAAAGGATAAGCCAAAGACATCATTACACATATATATTTAACAAGATGTATACACAAGGATGCGAAAGAAAAAACATTGAGTAAAACAAGAGTTGTCTCTCTTTACCTATTTGTATTCCAACGTTCACTGAAAGAAACTTTGTGATAGTTTCAGGTAATAAATGTTTTCAACAGTTTTGCTGTGTAAGGAAAAATATTGTGTGAGTGTAAGGAATATTCAACGTGTGAGTGAGAAGGTTGGCGCATGGTTTCAACTGTCGTGGATTCATTAGGCAGCTGAAATCTCACTAATTATCTAAGAATGTTTCTTGCTTATATAGGTGATCATCGGCTCCGAATCGCTGCGCGGGAAGAATTGTTATTCACGTGCAGACAATCAGATTGGTTGACATTGACTAATTTTGGGGAGACTCAAGAAAGCATCTGGGAGCCGTTTCTCCCAAAAGTGCACAAAATCGACTACATGAAAATAGAGCGATTATAAAATTGTCGCATTGCTGCGATTTTGCCTATTATAAAGTAGTGTTGATTTATTATCCAATGAATGCTTGTCGTTGTATATTCTGTATGTATGTATGTGTGTGATGCAGATAGTCACAACTTCATAAAAGCCAGGCTACAGACTTCTTGGTCCCTTTATAACGTTCTTTCGAGAAAGAAATACTTTTTTTCAGATTATCTCAAAAGCCATATCTGTGCCTCTCTTTGCAGGAGGAATCACATTTTCTTTATAGAAATGCTTTGTGAATATTTAAGGTTTGTTTGGCGTTTTTTTTTGGGGGGGGTCTGTTTTTTTTTGTTTTTTTTTTTTTTTGTTGTTTTTGTTTGTTTTAAAGGGATAATTTTATTTGCAGGTTTCCTTGAAAATGTTTTTTCCGGTCGACCCGTCCTGGCACCTTGTTTTAAAATTCAAATTGGATTTTTTTCTCCTGCTGATTTAAAATCTCTGGTAGCAGCAACACTTAAAATCGACAGACATCTCATCCAAATCTTCCTTTAGGGAAAGAACTTGATTTCGCTATCATGAACTATTATAATACTTTTTTTTTTTTTTTTTTTTTCTAACAACTGCAAACCAAAAGGTTTTACGTTGATGTGAAACGTTTAATATGGAGTTATTTCATTTAATCTTAGTTTGGGATATAAGTGATTTGTAATATTTATTTAGTATTTAAATTTCTTTCTTAATCACGCCTTACCCTGTCTATAGCGACATGTGTATGCATTTTTGTTCAGCTCGAGTTATCGGCCCTTGCCTGTCACGCGCTGAAGTCTGAAAATTGTTTTTCAGTTTTCAAATTTTAGGCCAATAAATGCCGAAAGACTGGGTTGTGAGATCTATGTAACTCTCCCTCCTGAAAATCTTGCATTTGTGAATATGAATGAATTGCGAAAATTAATTTAATTCAAAAGTATCATTGCCTTTCTAAAAAAAAAAAATAGCTCTTCACATCCAATTGTTAAATTTCTTCCATGGCTTCAACAACCCAAAAACAAACGATGCACTTTTTATAATGTATATGAAATGGAGTGACTATATAATTATTGCCATCTTCGCTGAAAGATTGTTTAAACTATAATTTTGATTATTCAATAATCTTTTTTTTTTCTCCTAGTCAGATACATTTTGATTTCTTGAGGGGGCGGGGGGAAGACTATCTTAAATGTTTAACTCGATGATTTGAATTTAACTGACGTGAATTTTCACATATATTAGTTCCAACTTTTCTATTATTTCCAGACTTTCCTCTTCATAAACACCGCCCCCATCACACATATATATATATATATATATATATATATATATATATATATATATATATATATATATATATATGTAAAACCTGTTGCAGAAAGTTGTCTGACTTTTTGTATTTTTTTTTTTTTTTTTTTTTTTTAAATTTTCATCAGTCTTCTAAAAAAATTTAGAAAACAAATGAAATTCGAAGTTTCGAAACACAAATCCCGACTTCAAATAGATTTTTATGCAAAGTTTTCCCCCCTTCTCTCCTACAATAAAAAGCAACACTTTATTCAATTGTCGTAGAACTGATCTTCCTTAACATTCTTATTTTTATTGTCTTATGAATCGGCGCTTCTGGAATTTATTAAATGCAAAAATAAATAGATCGTGACACATGCACAATATAAATATTGATCGATCTGTCACCTTGACACCAAATCGTTTGTAGATAAGAGAATTTGAATTTTGTGGGGGTGGGGAGAGAGTCTTCTAGTCAGAAAGTAGAATTCAGTTTAGCTCAGTTAAGTGATAACTCTTTTCAGAACAAGTGTATTTTGGGTGAAGATTAAACTATGCCCCCCCCCATCCTTCTGCCCGGGGCAAAGACCGTTTCCAAAATAAAAAAAAAAATAATAAAAAAAATTTTTCTTCAAGCTATTCCCATCATGCCCGCTGAAGTCCGACGGACTTTTTTTTATTTTTTTTTTTTTTTCTTCTTTGTCTTTGACATTCAGCACTGAAAACCTATAGTTGCTGAGATGATTGGTTTAAAAAAAAAAAAAAGCCTTTCGGATAGTCTAAAGCAAAAACGTCCGAAACTTGGCATTTCAGTAAGGATCGAACCGTTTTGTTCAGAGAGACCAAACTTTACTCTTCTTGGCCATCGAAAAAAAAATGTTACGCCCTTTGTTTTGGTTGATGCTCGTTTTACGATATTTATTAACTCAAGCACAAGGCCAAATGTAGTTAGAAAGATTGTATTGCGCCAATCTTTCAAGTCCTGGATGTACTCGAGGTCAGTAATAAATCCTTTCTTGGTTGGATTGAGAACTTTTCAGCACACTTTTGTATTTATGGAACTCGTGATATTACTGGTAGGACTGATATAAAGAAATTAAAGCACGTCATTAGAAAACGTTTAAGTGTTTGCTGTAACGTTATTAAAATTATTTTAATATAAAAATGTCTGTCAACTTCCAAGGGTCGTTTAGAAAGTTCGAAGCCAACTCAGAATGGGAGAAACAAGATAGTTGTCTTTTTTTTGTTTTCTTTTCCTCCTATTTTTCAATATATTCTCCCCCCCACCCACAGACACGGAGCCTTGATACCAATGCACTTGGTCCAACTATGCTTAAGCATTGCAATCTCACCACGGAAGGTGACCATCTGGTTCTCCAAAAACTCCTCCACAGCACATTTTTAATTTCACACCAAGTAAGGGGTTACAGAAACTGGGAGACAAAAGTAAAGAGACGTGATTGAGGAAAGCATAAAGAGAAGGGTTGGGAATTCGATC